AATGACTTTTACTTTTTCGGTGCACCGTATTTAAAATGTATCTGTGTAAGAATGCATCTGCGACTGTTTTGGCTGACGCGCGTTTAAGTGGAACAATTTCTGGATCCATTTTGAAAAATGATCTACTAATTACTAAAAGAAAACGATTTTTATTTAACTCGCTCTGGGGGAAGGGACCAAGAAGATCTATGCCTAAAATTTCATTCGGAAATGTAGCGCGAATGCTATTTAAGTACCCGGCCGGGCTGTAATTAATATCATTTATTAACTGACATTGATTGCAGGACCTGACATACGCAGTTACTATTTTGTATAATTGCGGGAAATATACCGCCTTCGCGTACCCTTTTTAAAGTCTTTCTTTCTGACCCCTAAATGACCCGCTGTTTTCGCGTCGTGTAATTCCTTCAAAATGCTTAATCGAAGCGAGGCTGGGATGACTGGTTTATACTCAAGATTTTCGTTTGTTGTTTTCGTATAAATAATAAATTATCTATTATTTCATAGTTTTTTGCTCTATTTCTTATCGCATCGATATCTGTGTGCTTCAAAGCTTTCGGGGTCTTTCAAATAAGCATAGATATTTCCAAATTCAGGATCAGCTTTCAATTCAGTAATAATTGTATCTCTAGAATCTAAAATTTTTGAAGTCAACACAGCGCATTTAAGTTCATTGCCTTCATCGTCCAGTTTTATACGAGAAAGTGCGTCAGCTACATTGTTTTCCTTACCCGGTTTATATTTTATTGTGATATTATATTCTTGGAGTTTTTAAAGCCCATCTTATTAACCTGGGCGTTAGGTTTTTTCCCCGAGTAAAGTCTACCAACAGCCGCATGATCCGAAAAGACTGTTACTGGCGCTTTTGCCGAAATAAACTCGAAATTTGTGTACAGCCATTAATACGGCTAATGTTTCTCTCTCTGTAGCTGTATAATTCCTTTGTGTATGATTCAATGTTTTACTAAAAATTGCCAAGCGGATGGCCATTTTGCATAAGAACCGCACCCCACGCATAGTCCGACGCATCTGCCTGCAATTTCCAGGTTTTCGTCCCCCTCCGGGAATTTTAAAACAGGGGCATTGATAAGCGCTTCTTTTAATCTTTCAAATGCTGTATTTGCTTCTGCTGTCCACGTAAATTTACTCTTTTTTCTTTTGAATTACTAACAGTGGTTCAACAATATTAGCGAAAATCTTTTATGAATGATCCGATAATAAGAACATAACCAAGGAAAGGACGAAAGTTTCTTGGCGGTGTTGGGCGGTGGGAAATTCTTGATTGCTTTTATTTTTGAATCTTGAGTTTCTATACCCTTTTGCGAAATTTTATAACCCAGATATTTAAGTTCTTTAGTTGCGAACTTGCATTTTGAAGGCGTTAATTGTAAGACCGGCCTCTTTTAATAATTTAAAAACTTCTTCTAGATCTTTAATATGTTGTTCCAACGATACTACTCGTTTATAATTATATCATCTAGATAGATTAAAGTCGATTTTCCTAGGACAGGCTTTAGAACAATGTCCATAGCTCTCTGGAATGTTGATGGGGCCCCACACAACCCAAAGGACATGCGTAAAAATGCATAAGTGCCCGATTTTGTTATAAACGCGGTTTTATGTATGTCTTCGGGTCTCATAGCTATTTGATAGTAGCCAGACGTTAAGTCCAAAGTAGTCATGTATCTTGTAGATTTGAATCTTTCTAATAATTTCCTCTAGAACCGGCAAAGGGTAAACTGGGAATTTAGTAATACTATTTAGTTTTCTGTAATCGATAGCAAACCTCCAAGCCCTTTTATCCGAAGGAGGAAACTCGTTCTTTTTCCTTACATAGTACGACTGGACTCGCGTACTCACTATTTATGGGCGTTATTATTTTGTTCTTTAACATCTTCCTGAATATGTTCTTCTATGATTTGGTCTTTTTGTTTATCATAGCGGTAAGGTTTAGTCCTACAGGTTTTTTCGGCAGTTAATTGAATCTCATGCGTAACTATTTGACAGCTACCAGGCCGTTTTTCTGAAAACAAGTTGAGAAAAGTACTCACCACTTTGCTGGATTGGCTTGACTTTCATGGTCATTCAAATGGCTAAGGTCAACTTGCAGGTTGTCTCCACTGGTTCCACCACCCTCCGATCCATCTCCAGCACGACGGAACTTTCTTGAAAATTCAGTTTGGCCTTCGCGGCTTTTAAAAACTCCATACCTAAAATAAGTGAGTGTTGTAATTTTTCACTTTCACAAAATTAATACTTTAAGATTTTCGTCTTTTAACCTGTAAGTTTTAAAGATAGTTTCCCGATACAATGACAAGTTTGTCCTTGCGCTGCTATGATTTCTGTGTTTTTATTTTTAAAATAATCGTAAACCTATTAAAATTCTTTTTGAAAAATTTTCACTCATAAAATTACCTTCTGCTCCTGTATCGATGAGGGCTTCTACTGGTACATCGCCAACCAGGACTTGTATAATTGGTAACTGTGAGTTTTTTACGATGACCGTATTTAAGTGTCTTCCTGAGGGTTTTTTCAAAACTTCCGGGGTCTGGACCCTCGCTTTCACAGGCCCCTCTACTCGTTTAAAGCTTTTCTTTCAACTTTCTGCCTTCTGGGTACGCGGACGGTTTTTTCAAATTTTCCTTTTTGGGCCTTGACCTTCGAGTTTCGATGACCTTGCTTGATAGCACTTTCCCCCATAAGAGCGGTTTGCATTTCTGGTCTGCTCTCTTTGAAGATTGCCTTCGGATACTTTGAGAATACGATGCCCCTCTAGCTTTTTTTCCGCTATTCTGCGATTTTGGAACTTGACCGCTAATTCGAAGAGCTCCTGCAATGTGCTTGGGTTTCTAATTTCGAAGTAGTCTTGAACAGCAGGTAACAATCTTGGTAAGATTATTTCAATAATCTCCGCGTCGGGTTTTTTCCCATACAGCATATCCGTCAGCTTAATTTTTCGCAGAATAAAGTCCGTCAACTCTTCTATATTCCCTTGTTGATAAAACTATACAGTTCGGCTTCTAACCTTGCTCGATCTTTCACTATGGGGAAGGCCTTTAATAACGATTTTTTGAAATTTTCAAATGTATATGTCTGGCCTCCGAATTCCCCTAATAAAATTTGCCTATATTCTTTCCACCATAGCGCGGCCTGTCCTCTTAGTGCAGATGTGGAGATGGCAACTTTTTGTCTTTCAGGCACAGGGTAGAGCTGGAAGTGATTTTCGAGGCATTCTAGAAATATCGCCGCCACCGAATTTTTTCCGTTCGAAATTGACGTTTGGCTTGATTGACGCTGTCATCGTCTGGACCAGGTATCCAAATCCTTCCAATTGGCTTGCCATTTCTTGTTGTTGTCCAGCAACTTCCATCCAATTTTTTCGGCCATTTCAGTTCGACAAGTGTTCGGGCGCGCAATATAACGTTGCGCGCGTCCAACTTGCACGCAACAAGAGGTGACTGCTGAAAACTGGATAAAAGACAGAGTCTTGAGAAGGGTTTAAGTCCCTTTTTATTCAACTTAGATAATTACAATTGCGTGCTCTTGACGCTCACAAACTACGCCGACCCGGCGGTAAAATAAAAAATAAGAACCTGAAAAGAAAGTAAAACAAGTGACTAACTACGAGGCTCTCTAAAATAACTAACCTCACCGCGTTCTACAATACCGCTGATAATTCAGCAAACTTCTGAATATTACGTGGAACGAATTAACAATACTGGTCCCGCCAAGCACACAGGCCGAAACGCGGGGTTCTTCAATTCTCTAACTAACTACCTCCACGCTCGTGAAGCAAGAAAGCACACACTTCGAACTCGTTTCCCTCTCTATTTAAATCAGACTACTTCCGCTGACAATTTGAATCCTTGCGCGTTCTACTAAAATTTACATACTCTGGCATTGGCAATTCCAGGGTAAAGTAAGGCTTGACAGGAAAGATAGTTTAAACTTAAAATAAATGTTAGTTAAAATAAATATAAACCCTACATAGTAAAATTTAGCACTTTTCTCACACAAAAAAATTAAAAATTTTTTTCTAAGTTTATTACAAGAAGCTTATTTCAGTAAATATTAGGGAACCTAATAAATAAGCCATAAAAATTTTAGATACCTGTGAGCAGTAGTTCCTGAGAAAAGATACATCGAGTATAGAAAAATCACGTTTGGAGAAAAACGCTTTTTTATGTAAAAATCCTCATTGATCAAAGTAGTAGATGACAAATTAAAACTAGATTTTTTTACAGTTCTAATTTTCATAGAGATTAAAGGATGGTATTTCTAGAAACATAAAAGTGCAGAAAATTTAAAAATGCAAAAATCCGAAATCACAATTTTTTGAAGATTTTGGGGTTCCAACTCCCCTTAAAGACAATAAAATAAAATTTGTTTCTAATTTTACTTATTTGGGTGTCATTTTAGACAACAAACTGAACTCTTCTGAACATTTTAATTACATCAGTAACCGAAAAACATGATTTTAAACATATATGAAAGAAATTTTGGTTCAGATCTTCTTGCTTTCAGTACCTTAATCCTAGGGGTGTCGTAGGGCGGAACATTATCTGTTTTAAATAAATCACTTAAAGCTTACAAAATAAATTTTAATTCTTAATTGATGGATTAATTGATGGATAACATAATTCTTAATTAATGTTAAGGTATGCGGTTTCAAATAGAAATAAAGAGACTGATGTCTAAGTACGAAAGTTTCTGCTTAATTTAAGAATCACATAAGCCTGTAAGAAAAATCTTTTCCAGAATTTTATCCTATGCTTCATACTGAAATTATACATTTCTCATGTAGTTAAATAATTATGTCTCATACAACCATCAATGCAAGCTCGATTCTTCATATTACGAATAATGAAGTTTTACCTAAAAGTTGTTAAAAATTACATCTGTCACAAACACGCATTCTAATATCTGAATAATAAAGCTAAGGAATAAAAATTACAGTAAGTTGACTTAGTCATTTGGAAAGAAATTAAAAAATTACTTACCCGAAAATCTTGCAGAGTTCTAAAGAGGAAAAAAGAAAAAAATGTTTAAAAACCTTGGAAAGACGATACTAATTATGACATACTTAAATACCTGACAAAACAAGCGAATCACTTACTGAATTGCAAAATCTACTTGTATGGATTTCTTTTGGTAAATAGTCAGGATAACTTTTCGCAGAAGTTGACTCTTGCGAAGACGATGATTCTGAATGATAATTCTGATAAAAGCCAAATAAAAATATGTAATGCATATAAAACAGTAAATGAAAAATTAAGATATGTTTGAAAAAATAGCTTCCTTACAAGTGCACTAAATTTAGGATCAAGTTGTGTTAATATGACCGCATAATACGTTTGACGTCAAAACTAAATAATTAATGACATATGGCATTTGTCTGCTGTAAATTTGGGGATATATGAAATGTATTATAAGCATTCAGGAAATAGATCATCTATTGCTGTCAAGAGTAAATGGAGCCATTTATCAGACTTACAAAACGAATGATTATTGGCTACGAAACAAGAATGGCAGCATTTCAATTCTATATCTCCTGTTCTACTGGGCTGATTCGAGAAATTTATGTTTTTCATATTTAAAAAGCGTGAGACTTAGGATACATATTAGATTTATATATAGCATTGCTCTAACGTACGTATTTTGACAGAATATAAATTTTTTTCTGAAACGCCATACCATTTTATTTCATATTTACATCCTAAGACTCAAGGCCAAATATTAAATTTTGTAAAATTTAATGAGAAACGTAACAAGGAATTTAAAAATGTATCTTGGCGCACATTTCTCAACCTGAGCGAAGAATAATTAATTCACTTGGCGAAATTCTTAATTTATAGTAACCTATTTTCCATTTATTTTTTTAATTGTGTTCGAGCGGAAAAAAATCACATTGTTCATTCTTTCAAATAAATTTTAAAAAGTGCGTAAAATGCATTTGGCGTTATTATCGCTTACAACAAATATGCCGAATTTCAAAATTCGCCAATATCTTTGGAAATTTTGAATAAAAACTTATATTTGCAGGCATGACTAGAAATACATCTACATATTTCCTTTCTGTTCGCATTGTTAGCAGCAAAGGTCTATTAATTACGAAACTTACCTTACAATTTTTGTTTTGATTCACTTTTCAAATTGTTGTCACCAAATGTTATCACTCCATATAACTTTCAAAAAAAATGAAATAATGAAGAATATGTATAATATTTTTATACGTTCGTAGCATTATCAAAAAGACAACACATAGAGATACCAGATTACATGGGCACCTTAAAGTCCGAATTTTGAATTTTGAATTTATTTTAAATTGAATTGATGTTTTTTACAAATTTAGTGAATTTTTCACTTACAAACTATGATTTTTAAGTGAGAAGTGACAACCTTGTTCGAAATAAACCATTTTTATCTCCGAAGCACGAGATTGATGCCATTCGGCAATATGTAAGATATTTATTTCTCAACTTTATCAGCAAACTCGCCCATGTTAGAGCCATGAGCTGTCACCCCCGGAAATGGAAAAAAAAAAAAAAAAAAAAAAAAAATCTTGTACGCTCCACTGTACTGCTGTTTAATACAACCTAAGAAATTTAACTTTCAGATTTAATCTTCAAGGTTACTGAGTAACAAACTAAAAGATTTAAAAGCGATAAAAACAGATCTTAAGTATGTTTTTTCATACTTTTTAATAGGACTCATTTAAATAAAAATGCACTAAAATGATGAGCTATCTAATCAGAACGATTAAATATTTTTATGAAATTACAATAGCTGGACACATTAAAATCATTATTTGATAAATCATACTGTTACGAATTTTGTACATAAATAGATGATTTTAGTGCAATTAATTATGTGTGAAATTGTTTTATTTTTCTGTGTTGTGTAACACAAGAAAAATCTAAAAGAGATAAGCTAATCCGGAAAAATAAGAATACAGGGTATGTTCATCTAAAACATTAAGTAAATAGGTATCTCGGTAATTTGACGAAATATCACTAAGCTGGCAATGAATTTGGCGACTAATTTTATCGCCAAATTAAAATTAAATCGCCGAAAAATCGCCAAAATCGCAAAAAGTCGCCAAATTGCTATTTTTTTGTTTTCTGTATCACCGTAATAGGTTTTGTAATTGAATAAATATAATTTATCACTATATTAGCTGCAAACGTAATTCGACTCTCATATTGCTTTCCAGTCATTTCGAGAAGCAAAATGTACTAGAAATATCTCGGCGGTTGGTTGAAAACTATATTAGACGGAGACAGCATTCGCTCACAGTTAGTTGTCGTTATTATTGTTGCGAGTTGTTAATTCAGCGTAAGTTCGGAGATATTTCCGGGTTAGCTTTCTCGTTAGATGCGCTTTGCATTGCGTTGTGTTTAACGTTCTTAGAAACTGTACTCTGTGTATAAGTACTGATTGTACTCTGTGTATAAGTACTGATTGTACTCTGTGATACTATGAACACCTGTAGAGTATTTCTGTGGAAAATTCCAGAACAGTGGAGTGTTTCTTTTGATGTAATAAATTTTATCAACCTATTGTCGGAACCGTGGGCATTCAGTCTGTTACTAACCCGTACGTACGCAACACTTTTTGGTGTCAGGAGTGGGGCTGAATGCCAGTGACAAGAGCGATGGTGGAGCAATTAAGACAGCTGCTGGTAGGCTTTGCCGCATTCAAAGAACATATGAAAGTGGGTCAATCCGTTACAGAAGAAATGACAGCGGGTCAAGAATTCGTTAAAGGAGAGATGATAGGTGTTCAGGAAAAGATGAAAGAATCTGTTAAAAAGAGATGAAAAAGATGAAAGCTTGTTAAGAATATAATGAAGTTGTTCAAGTAAAGATTGAAGCAGGTCAAGAAGAAATGAAAAGAAAAATTACATTCATAATAGAAAACAATTTGAGGCTATGGAAGGCAGAACAGATGCTGTTGAAAATAAAAATAGACACATTAAAGAAAGAGTTTCTTTTGTGAAAGAACAAGTAGAAGAGAGAGCTTCTGTTGTGGAGCAACAAATCGAAGGAAGAGTTTCTCCAGTCCAAAAACAAATCGAACAACAAATTGATGATACTGTTTCTGCTGCCGTTTCCAAAGAAGTTGACACACTAAAGATATTCATAGCAACAGCAGGAAGCATATTTGGTGGCTTTAAATTTATGCCAATGACTGCTCGTTCCTCTCTGAAGTTATCCACATATGACCGGAAGAACTTTTGGCAACTGTATGAGACACAACCTTCTATAGTGGCGGATGCGAATGGATGGGATTCCCAAGCTAATGCCTGTCATATAGCGTCTTCTCTGAAAGCAGACGCTGCGGATATCTTTCAGACTCTTCCGGAAAAGCAAAGGCTAGATTTCGAAGCTTTACCTGGCGCGTTGGAGCTGCGCTTTGGTGAGAATATTTGTAAAAGATTACAGCAGGCTTCAGTTAAAATCCCGTCAACAAAAGCCCACGTAAACACTGCAGGAACTTGCCATGAATGTTGAAAGGTGTTTTATCTCGCCTTTTCGGAGTGCCCGAGAGAAACAAGGGAAATTCTGTCCCTGAAATACTTCATCGAAGGCATTCGCGATCCTGAAGTACAGAATGCTTTGCGAATGGCGAATGTCATAAACTTCAAAAGCTCTCTAGTGTACGCCATGAAGTTCAAGGCAGGCCAGCAAGCAACTAGTAGAGAGCGACATCCTATCAGAGTTATGCAAGTCCAAGAGCCAGTGGATCAAACGGCTGCTCGCCAAGAAGATTTAGCGAGACAAGTCAACGCCTTGGGGCGAAATATTAGTGAGAAGAAATCGGATCCTAAAGTGCTGGGACTGCGGTGCTAAGTGCTCGTACCTGCACTTAGCACTGCTGAACTGCAGAAGACCCTATTCCACAGAAAATAAGACAGACAATTTAAACAGACTACTAAATACCTTGCGACGGTATAAGAGCGACAAGAATCCATCCCTAAAGTGCTGTAACTGCAGTGCTGAAGGCCACATACAACGGAACTGCAGAACACCCCATGGTACGGATATTAGGACCATTTCTAGCAAGAAGCAGGGAAACTAATTAGTGGCTATCTCGCGGGGCAGAGGTTGCAATCCCTGCAATATGACGATAGATACAGGAACCAACAACTGAGAAACAAACTTATCTGGACGGCCGCCCTGCTTTACCCTCCAGACTATGTCTGGTGATAAAATAGGCTTTGATGGAAAATTAAACGTTAACATCACGTTTGGAAGTGCCGCCTATCATCGCACGGCATATGTGGCAGACGTTACAGATTCTAGCCCTTTCACAAAGCAAGGAAAAAAATAAATTCTAATTAATATTTTGCACTTTAAATAAAGAGATTTGTATTCAAAGATTTGAAAACGTAAGTGAAATAATAAAATATTTTTGTGAAAAATTCAAATCAAAATTTACCTTAAAACGAAGAGCATATAATCGAATGAATTTAAAATGTAAGTTAAATTATAAAACTTTAGTAAATAGACATAAATAAAATTTGCAAGAAATAATTAAAAGCTTCGAGCACTTTTATTATTAGTACACGATCGAAACTATTCAAAATTCATGTCAAATTCATATCAAAATTTAACTCTAAACGAAGAGCATATAATCCATTGAATTTAAAACGTATGTGAAATTATAAAATTTTAGTGAATAGACTTAATAAAAACTTACAAGAAGTAATTAAAAACTTCGAGCACTTTCATTTAGTACACAATCGAAACATCATTAAGACCATTACAGTAGTGACTTTTAGGTTTGCCATTTTGGCTTCATTGGGGAAACTGTGGCAAGAAAGTAATGGCTCAAAAGGCAAAAAATTGAAACAAAAGATAGAATTTAGAAATAAAAATAAAAACTTTTAAAAATTTCTATTAAAATTTAAATTTTGAAAACGAAAAGCATTACTTTTCTAATTAAAATCAAATTTAAGTAAATTCTGAACTTTTTTAAAACAAAAAGAAAAAAATAGGTCGTTCAGTTTAATACTTTATTAAATTTAGTGTCAATTATTCTTTAAAATTAGTAGACTCAATAAGGTAGCTCAAAAAGTGGTCAAAATGTTTTTAACAAATGATTGTAAAAATGAGTAGAAAAATCCATAAATTTGAATTTCAGATTTTTTAAATTTTTATTTTAAAGTTACAGAAAAAAGGGCAAAAGAAAGTTTGAAATTGGAAGTAAATGAAT